GGCAGGGAAGTGGTGATATGATGAGACCGCCAAAAGTAGCTAGGAACCAGAGCGTCCCGGGAAAGGGGCAGGCGTGGCGAGAAGAGAAGGCTGGGAGTGGGAAGAGGCGCGGAGGGCGGCGAGGGAAAGCTCCTCGAGGATAAGGAGGGAGGTCCAAGGGCCGCGTGGGCTGGAGAGGATCAGGGTTATGGGCGGCGCAGGGACGTCTGGGCTGGGGGAGGGTCTCGGGGCAGGCCCGGGGTGCCAGAGCCCAGCTACCTTTAGGGCTTCCAGCCGATAGCGCTGGGTGGAGCTGGGGTCCATCATGACCGTCACCGCTTTCACCAGCTGCTCGCACAGCGCGTTCACTTGATCCATCGCCATGGCTACTGCCACGCGCCGCGAGAATGCACCACGGCTGCCCCAGGAGCACAAGGAACCGTCGGCTCCTGTGCTGGGATAACACGCTGGGACCGGGCCGCGGCAGGCTGGGGGGGTGGGGAGCAGGAGGAGGAGCGTGAGCAGCAGAAGCCCCAGCCGGGAAGGAACCGGCGCTGCGCACGCGCCGGCGGAAGTTGCGGCTTTCTTGTGACGGTTGCTCCTCGATGGGCGGGGCGGGAGACGGAAGGGCTGCGACGCGCAGGCGCGTCAACGCCCTGCGCTGCGAGCGCGCTGAGCTGTCAGGAGAGCTAACGTTGAGCGCGCTGGCTGTGGCTGAATCCACTGGGCTGTGCGGGCGGCTGCCCAGGCAAAGATCCCCTACGATCCTTGGTCTGTTTTTAAATCGTTGCGGGGAATAAATCTCTCTCAATACCGACTGGCTTGCTCCCGGAAAGGGGACAGATATTCAAGACCCCTTTATCTTCTTTCCAGTGGACACCGAACCCAGCATCTGTGGAGTCCTCAGTGGGCAGTTTTGCCGGGTATTTTCCACATTGGTAAGAGAATTAAAAAACTGTAGATATCACTATTTTCAAACTTTCTGTGTTGCCTTGGCTGTTGGTTTTATGATATAGCAGTGGCTGGTGACAACCTTGGGCCGAAATTACATGAAATAGACATACATGCTCACAGAGAGATAAGGCCCTGCTGTTGTCCTCTAAGAGAATTTTTCTTGTAGAAAAAAATGATATTTTTCTCTGTAGCCCTTAAACTTCCCTCTTCACGTGTACTTATTTTCTTTGGATGTCTTATCACCTGATCGGCACGAAACTTGTTTTGTACTGATTGCGATAAATCAAGATGTTTAAAGATGATTGATTGCAGTTATTGAAGGTGTGTGCAGTTTTGATATTTGAAGTGCTATATATAAGACTTCAGAGTAGTGTAGTCCTTATTCTGAAAGGAGGATTTTGGCAGAGAGTGTGTTTCATTTTCCATCTTTAAAAAGCTGTTTTTCCAGCAAAATACATGAACCGAAAACTTCAATAACTTCATTATCTGTTAAAGTATGCATATCGGTTTTTGTGTTTGTATACTCAGTAATGTGTTTGCTGGACTTAAATCACTGCTTCCTATTCATAGTCCACTTCTGGTATTTGTATCTAATATGGTGCATACATGGTGTTTTTTTGTGAAAATGTATTTACTATTTTTATTCTGGTATTTCCTATTTGCATTTACTATTATCATCTGTTCCAGTACTATGCAAAAAGCACTTCAAGGTAAATGATTACTGACCTGTTGATGGTTTTAACTTATAAACGTTTCAAGTATTACATTCTGCCTGTAATTTATAAGGAATTAATGAGGAATTTATAAGGAATTAATGCCTTGACACTGATTTTTTAAATTGTTTTCTTTCCATTAATCTTCCCGTTTGTGGTTGCATGCCAATTTTTTCAAGGTGAATATTAATTTTTGACACTTTTTAAAAAGAATACAGTTGAGTGCTTACTCAACTGTATAACCTGTGTTTCTCATATTTAAATCATGAATTACTGGTGTTTCCATAAGTATCTTATATACTTTAAGTCAGTGGTTCTCAATCTCTGCTGCACATTAGAATTGCCTGGAGAGCTTGTAAAAATCACAACGCCCAAGTCACATCTATACCAGTTAAATGAGGATGTCTGGTGGTAGAAGCCAATATCAATATTATTTAAATGTTCCTAGGTGATTCCAATCTGCAGCAAAGTTTGGGAGCCACTGCATTAGTTTAACATTCCTTCTTTTAGATTTCTAACAATGTTAAATGATAATATTAGTCTGTATTCACTAATATTTAACGATGTTATATGATAATATTAGTCTATATTCACGATATTCACTAAGGTTTGTTCTTCCAGTCTATCATCCATAGACAGCTTTCTGTCTGTCTGCCCTCAAGTAGTATGAAGTATTGTTTTCTTTTATCTTCAGAAATTTACAAGAATGGGTAGGAAATCACCATGAGAACATCGCAAAGTAATTGTGACAGGCAGGATTCACTGATGAGTGGCTAGTGGTTGAAAGTTTGAGGAGAAACAGGATATTTTCGTATTCTCAAAGCATGTCCCCTAAGATATTTATTACCAAAGAAAAAATAGTGACTTTACAATGAGAAACCTGGCAAACACTAAATGGTCATGGTTAACATCACTAGTAATAAGACATAGGGACATTATGTACCTCCCAATATGATACACTGAGAAGACCATTTCACTTCCATAATATTGTTGCCCAAAACGCATAACCTCAACCTAATCAAGAAAAAACATCAGACAAACCTAAATTGAGAGATATTCTCAAAGTAATTTATTAGTTCTCTTCGAAAGTGTCAAGGTCATGAAAAACAAGGAAAGAATGAGGAGGTGTCATAGATTGGAGAAGACTAAGGAGACATGATGACTAAGATTGTATCCTAGATTGGATCCTGGAACAGGAAAAGGATATTAGTGGAATGACTGGTGAAATTCAAGTAAAGTATGTAGTTGAACATTATACCAGTGTTCATTTTTAGTTTTGATCATTGTGCTAAGTAAAATGTTAACATTAGGGGAGACGGCATGTAGGAGAACCCTACTATTTTTGCAACATTTCTGTAAGTCTAAAATTATTTCAAAATAGAAAGTTTTAAAAATGCACATGAATGCTAAGATGTTATATATCATTTTATGCTTCTCTTTTCCCTGAGTTTATACTTGAGATTTATCTATGAACTAGATTAACTGTCAGCTTAATCCTTCTATTGATGTATATTGTGGTTTTAATTTGCATTTCCCTATGACTAAATGTTGAGCTCATTTTCAGGTGCCTATTGACTATTTGTAAACCTTCTTTTGTGAAGTGTTCAATTCTTTGGGGGCATAGGTATTTTAAAAAATTTTAATATGTATTCCCTTCCTAAAATTGTACCCATTTATTACTGTCCTTCTAGCAGTAGATGAAAATGCTATTTCATTCTTGTTAGTGTCCAGGCTCCCATGCTCATGGTAACTCAACAAAAGAAGAATGGGAATATAATTTTTCTTGGCACTTTGGATTAGGTATCCTTTTTAACTGTCCATAAAATATTGTCTTATAGAAAAATGGCTAATGGACAGGACCGGGTAGTTGCTCTAGTGGACATGGACTGTTTTTTCGTTCAAGTGGAGCAGCGGCAAAATCCTCATTTGAGGAATAAACCTTGTGCAGTCGTGCAGTACAAATCATGGAAAGGTGGAGGGTATGTATCATACTTATCGTTGTAACTGTCAACTACTATTTTCATCTATAAGAATGCATGCACTATGCTAGGTCCAATTTTTGAGATTTCTGAACTGCTGTGTTTGAGACCAAATAGTGGTAACTGGGGCCAAAAAGTTTCTACTGTTAAGTTTATAGCCTATTCATGTTAAATATTAATTATTCCTGCTTGTGATCATGTAATATTTTTTCTGTTCTATCTTTAGAATAATTGCAGTGAGTTATGAAGCTCGTGCATTTGGGGTCACTAGAAGCATGTGGGCAGATGATGCTAAGAAGTTATGCCCAGATCTTCTACTGGCACAAGTTCTTGAGTCCCGTGGGAAAGCTAACCTCACCAAGTAAGAAAAATGATTGTTTAAGGGGAATAGAAGACTTGGAAATAATATTCCATGAGGCTAGGAACTGATGTTTCAAATTTCAAACTAATATCTGAAAAAGTTCTTTTTGGTCCACCAATTTTTCTGTGTAAAATGAAAACAGATTGTAGTATTGTATTTCAGGAACGGTTCAGAGTCATTATAACTTATAACAATTGTTGCCCTTGACACCCTTTCATTTTCTAATTATTTAAAAATTGGTTGTTGTAATTAAAACTTAATACCAATTCCCATGTTCTCAGACCAAGCTTGAAATGTTTGAAGTAATTAAATTGACTGTGAAACTAAGAGTTTTTCCAGAGAAGGCTGAGCCAAACTGACAATTCTAGAATTATTTGCCAGAACTGGACAATCTCGAAGATTACCTTTTCTGTTTTTCAACTGAGCTGTCTCTCCTCAAATTTTAGAAGGTTAGCCTTGGACTGGGAGACATTTGTAGACAAAGTCAAATTAGAGGTAGCTACAAGCCTCAGCCATTATAATAATCTAATAGTGTGTACTGAGTATATGACATATGCTAGGTACTATGTTAAGCTCTCCATAGGTAATATCTCTTAAATCACACACTGTTATAAAATAGGTTCTAATATTACCTGCCCCCTCAACACACATACATAGGAAACAGGTTTAGAGAAGTTAAATAATTTAAGTTCACACAGAAAGTAGAAGACTGAGGATTCAGTTTGTTTTTTTTTCAGATTCCAGTGTCTACATTCTCACAGTACACTATACTGTGTGGCGTGGTGTGTAGGGTTCATGCTTTGACTTGGGACTTGAGATATTCCTGAATTCACCTATGAATTGGAAATCTAAAGGTGGAGTGTCGTAGTCCCAATCTCACATTGAAGTTATTGCCAGAAAAGAGGACAGAATGATTGAAGGTTAATACCTTAACCCTAAAGTAGAATTAATTCAGCTAATGGACATATGCTACAATACATTGAATAGAATTTTATGCTAGTAAAGACAGTGTAACTTCCCAGAAATATAGTTGACTTAAGAGTATGATTTTGCAAAGTAACACACCGCCAGCTTTAAACTAGATCATTTATTTTACTCTTGAACAAAGACAGTTTTAGGAAATTTAGGAGTAAGTTTATAGACCACAGAGTTATTAAGACCTGGTGATTTAAAATTATTATTTTAATAATTAACCTGAGATACCGAGTTATAAAAATATGATTTCCAGAAACATGTACACACTAAGTTTATCAAATATTCTTAAAAATACCTTAGAGTAATTTGCTCAAGACACTGTGAAGGAACACCTACTACCACAATAGAGCGTCCTTTCCTTGCTCTGTATGTATCATGTTCTCATGCTCTTGCGCACACTTGTGTTCTTTTTTGCTTTGAGGTCTATCTTCTATCCAGCCCAAATAACAATTAAAAGAAGAAAGGCCAGTCTTTCTCTAATTCTTCCTTTCTCTAATTCTCTTATTTGAGAATATTTTAAACAACATTTGTACTTGTTTTGATACATGTCTTAGTGAAGATGTACAAGTATTTCCATTTTTGTGACAAATAAAATAGGTTCAACAGGAACAAAGAACTTACTTTAAATTCTATAACAAGTCCAAAGCAAAGAAAACATCCACATATTGCCATAGAAATTAGCTGTGTATACTGCCAGAAGAGCTGCCTGTTACGGTTTGAAGAGACAGTATATGGTGAGATTGGTATCCCCTGGGGAAGGCTGTCTGCCTGTTCAGATGCATCACCACATTCGAGGAGCTGATCTTCAACTTGATAATTTGAGTATTAGTATATTCAAAAGTGATTAGACTTGGTTGGTTGATTGGGTGTGTGTGTATGGAGGACCAGCTCATATGTTCATCAAACTCGCCATTGTTGAGGTATAAAATCCTTATGTCATTTTATAATGAGAAATACCATCATGTGGAAGACCAGATACTTGGGTACTGTGCAGTGTTCCCTTAAGTTATCTCTTATTTGTAAAAAAATAGAAGCAGAATACTGTGTGGTGTGTATATGAAAATAACAAAAAGGAATAGGTGATCATAGTACAGTGTTTTCTAGTTAAACTGGTTTGACTTTTCTTCATCTTCAAAGAGATCCTTGTCACAAAGACATGTTCGTGATCTGGATGCTTTCTACCTTGGTAGTGCTAGAGTTGCACTAAAAAGATTTGCCTCCATAGTTCTTCTTTTCCTTTGTTTCTGTTATTGACCATCTGCCTGTTCATTGATCCCTTTAGTTCAGTTACTATCTAGTATCTGACAAGCCATTCCTCTCTTTAAGGAAACATTGCACTGATTATGTATATTATTATGCCATCATAAGAAGAGGATAGGGCCCACAGTCTCAATGTTGCCTCCATTAATTGCCTACATGTATAATGCTTATACTTTTTAGGTACCGGGAAGCTAGTGTGGAAGTGATGGAGATACTGTCTCGTTTTGCTGTGATTGAACGTGCCAGCATTGATGAGGCTTACGTAGACCTGACCAGTGCTGTACAAGAGAGACTACAAAAGCTACAAGGCCAACCTATCTCAGCAGACTTGTTGCCAACCACCTACATTGAAGGGTTGCCTCAAGGCCCTACAACAGCAGAAGAGACTGTTCAGAAAGGTATTTCCATACCATCATATTGCTTCTGCTTCCTGGCTTTGGAACCTGCTTTGCTTGGTCACATTGATACTTCTTGGATTGACTGAAAGGAAACTTAAACTACAACCTGAATGAATCACAAGGACTCATGTGGAAGGATATACAAATTCTCTATCGTTCCAGGTATATTGAGAAGCTTGTGAAATCTGTATGAAATCAAGTTTCTCTTTAGATATAACTAAGGCAGATTAGAGTTGTCAATAGAAGGCTGACTGAGCTCTTCCATCTTTTGTAGGTTAATTTATATTGTAACTTGGTTTCTTCATCATAAGGGTGAGCTTTATTTAAGGGGGCCTCAGGTACAGGGAGTTTAGTCACTCAAAATTTCTAATCAATTCACAGCACACTATCATCAATGGGCTGTACAAGGCTTCTCATTTTATTTTACTTCTTTCTTTCACAGTGATTCCCCCTACTCCCTCCCCACCCCTATATACCTTTTGGCACCCCACTGATATTCTTGGTATATCTTCTTAAATATGTTTATGTCTTTATAAATTATACAGTGTTGCTTTGTGTATGTGCTTTGTAAATTTGTGCTTTTAAATTACAAGATAGTATTGTGTTATAGATCTCATTCTTTTTCTTAGTTTTCTTTCAATGGTGACTTTATAGTTCTATCCATGTAGCTATATTTATGTGTAATTGATTACTTTTAAGTAATTACAGCATAATCAGTGGGATAGCTCTACCATGTTTACAGACCATGCTCCTAGTGATGCACTCATTGGTTGCATCTAACTTCCTACTGTTTATATGGTGAATGTCCTCATTCATCCTCTTTTGGATCTATGCAAGGGTTTCTCTGGGAAATATTTTCAGAACTGGACTGCTAGGTCATAGGGTCATATATAACTAGTTTCACTAAAAACTGCCAATTTGTTCCCCAGAATCACTGTAACAGTTTACCCTACCCCTGGCAGTACACAAGAATTTCTGTTTCCCCCATATCCTCACCAGCAATTGATATTATCTAATGTTTAAAAATACTTGCCAGTGTGATGGCTATAAAGTGGTATTTTGTTTTGGGGGGTTTTAGTTTACATTTATTTATTTATTAATTAAGGTTGAGCATCTCTTCATATTCTTGTTAGCTAGTTGAGTTTCTACTTTTGTGAATGGCTTATTTATATACTAGATTTCCACTGGATTTCCTTTTTTTTTTTTTTGCAAGAGTTCCTTGTATATCCTAGTGATTGGTCCCTTGTCTATTTTTGACATTGCAAATAACTTATCCCAAGTCTGTCACCCATTAACTTTTTTTATGTCATACTTTGCTGAACAAAGTTCTTTGGTCCATCAGTGTTACACCTTATGGTTTATGCATTTTGAATTTTGTTTTGGATGTCCATTTCTACTAGAAGTTTACAATGACATTTTTCTACATTTTCCTCCAATTTCTTTATAATTTATTTTTAGGTCTTTCAACCATATGGGGTTCACTTTTTTTATTTGATGAGCCACTTTATTATTCTTATTGTGAACCAGTTTTCCTAACAATTATTTATTAAACAATTCATTCTTTCTCAGCTTCCCACATATAAGTGGATCTGTTTCTATAGTATCCCATTAGTCTGTCTGCTCCTCCTCTGGAAACACATTGCTGTTATTACTGTTTGTAGTATGTCATAATATTTGATAAGGACTCCCCTCTGCTTTCGTTTTTCAAAATTGTCTTAACTATTTATGAACTTTTATTGTTCAGTATGTATTTTAGAATACATTAGATCCTGATGGATTTATATTAAATTTACATATTTAGAGAGAATAGTTATCTTAATGTTAAATTATCCTATCCATAAACATATCTCGCCAATTTTTTAGGTCTTCATTAATATATCCCTTGCATGATTTTTTTTAAGTTAAAAAAATTTGATTTACCTGTTATAATGTTTCTGCTCCTTCTGAGATCTGGAATCCAGTATTCCAGATATAAACTTTTCATTGATATATACATAAAGTGCACAAATTGCAAGTATATATATCTTGACTAATTTTCACGATGTAAATCCACCCGTGTAAGCAGCACTCAGATCAAAGAACAATAACGGAACCCTAGGAGCCACCCTTGCCTACCCTTCTGGTCACCATTCATTCCTCTCTCCTGCTCCTATAGTAACTGGTCCTGATTTCTATTTAGCTTGTATTCGAACTTTATAAAATTAAAAACCCTGCAGTGTATACTTGAGTCTGGCTTCATTAACTCAATATTGTCTTTGTGAGATTCATCCATTCTGTTGTATGTAGTTGAGTTTGTTTACTAATTGCTATGACTATCCCACAATTTACCCATTCTACTATTGGTAGATATTTGGGTTGCTTCCAGTCTTGGGCTACTAAGAATAGCACTACTGTGAACATTTTTGTCAATATCTTTTGGTGAACAAATATATTCATTTCTGTTGGGTATTTTACCAGAAGTGTTCAATTGTAGAGTTTGCTGATATTTAGCTTTAGTTTGTCTATGGTCAGCTTTAGTAGATACTACCAGTTTTACAAAATGGTTGTAACAATTTATAATCTCACTAGCAGCATATGAGAATCGTAGTTGTTCCACATCCTTGTCAACATTTGCTTTTTCTCTTGCAGTTTAGCCATTTTGAGGGGTATATAGTAAGATCACATTGTGGTTTTAGTTTGCATGTCCCTGGTGTTAATGAAATCGAGCACCTTTTTGTATGTTTATTGACCATTTAGATATCTCCTTTCATAAAGTGTCTGGTTAAGTATTTTGCTCATTTCCTGTTGGATTGTCTTATCTCATTCATCTATAGAACTTTGTATGTATTTTGGATAGGAATCCTTTATCAAATATATGTATTGCAAATATCTCTGGTCTGTAGCTTGTTTTTCATTCTTCATGGTGGCTTTTGATGAACAGAGTTTCTTAATTTTGATTTGGTCCAATTTATCTTTTTCTTTATAGATAGTATTTTTTACATCCTGTTTAAGAAATCTTTACCTACCTCAAGGTCATGAAGAAATTATTCTGTCTTATTCTAGCTTTATTGTTTTGCCTTTCAAATTTAGATTTTTCAATCCATTTGTGTGTGTGTGTGTGTGTGTGCGCGCGCGTGCGTGCACGTATGTGTGTAGGGTGTGAAGGAGGAATCAATATTCACTTTTATTATATCCAATTATGTCTTTATTAAAGCTTTATATTTTTCTATAAAGATCCTGTGCATTCACTTGTTACGTTAATTCCTCGATGCTTTAATTTTTTATCATTATTGTGATTTTACATTTTTTTTCCTATTTTCTACTTAGGTATTGATGTGTAGGGGAATGATAAGTGATTTTTATGAGTTCATATTTATTTACTTCATATACCTGACAAAACTCGATATAATTTGTATGAAAGTATTCTAAAAAATAAAATGTACTCGGTTAAAAATATTTTCTTATACAAGAATAAAATTAAAGCAATAGAAACTTGCTTTGTGGTCATATTAAATTATGATGGTTTTAGATACCATATCTAAGACAATCTGGGTCTTATATATTTTTAAATCAAATATTATGAAAGTGGAATTCAGCTAGATCTACCAGAACAAAGAATTCTATATCTAGAAGCTTTTCAGCAGGGTGTCTACACTTTTTTCCTACACATTTTTTACTACTTTTGATCATGGCTATATTTAAAACAGTGTATCTATTCTCCCCTTTATCTGTAACATGTACTTTTAAAGCTATTATTTTGTAACATCATTCTTATCTAAAAGAGCTCTTTCAGTCAAAAACAAAAACAAAAACTTTGAAGTTGGACTTTAGCCAAAAGGAAACTGTATGGATACAAATCTGTAGCAAGTTAACTTCTTCTTGGGAAAAAGATAAAGTAATCTGTTATTACTTGTAGAAACAATGAGGATTTATCCAGAAAAAAACTCCAAGAGAGTTTAGCTGATTTTTAGTTAGAGTGGTGAATTTCCCATGGGTTTCATGTTTTAAAACAAGATGTAAGATGTTAAAGTTGCCTTTTGCTGTTGAACAGTTGTATGGTATGCCTTTAATATGTTGTGTTGAAGGATAGTATTAGAACTGCCCAGGGTAGCTTGTGGAAAAGGCCATTCAGAAATTATTTTATCCTCTGATCCTGAGGTAGGAGAGTTTATCAAGCTGGAGGCTGCAGATCCTTTAGTTCTTTAGAGAAGATACAATGAACAATAAAAATGTGTCACTTAAAAGAGGCAGTTATGGAACATAACCATTTGATGATAAAAATGTCATGATTTCTTTATTCTGGGACCAGAGTCAGAAATTTACTGATCATAATAAGGAAGGTTTTCTTTGGTCTAAGCTTTGCATACCACTTTGTGTGACATTTTATTTAAATAAACATTTGGAATGTTTTATAATGCTTTAAACCATTGATTTTTTTTAAAGGTTTGAGGGCTACATACCGTTTTGAAAGCTCTGGATCCTTGTTTGTCTCAGAAAAATATGTATTGACACATAAGACAATTTTTTGTGCAGTTGTTTTCAAGAAATTTACAAACACTTTGAAACCCATATACCTCAGAGTAAGAACTATTAATACACATTACACTGGTTTTTGGCTGAAACTCATTGTCAAACAGCTCTCTGGCTGAACATGATAGCATATACCTTTGTAGGTGGTCAAATAATGACTCAAATGGACATGTTCCTCTTCTGCACCCATCCTTCTCACCTATGTACAATTTTATTTAAAATGCCAATGTTTATAAAGATGAAGTCTTATTTCTATGTCTTATGCATCTGTTGCTTTAGTGTGTCCAGTTTAAATACTAAGCTTCCAGATGCAGTGATATATTATTACTTATAGTGTTCAGAACATTGAAATGTCTAGTATATAGTTTATGATACTTCATACCAGATGATGTGTGCAACAGCAACAAAAAACTGTTAACAGAAATTAGCTGGTCTAGGTGCATATAACCTTCACCATCCTGCCTCTTAATGGGTTCAAAGCTAGCGGTCCT